TGTCAAAACCAATATGAAACAGTTTATTTTAAAAACAAGACTTATAAATATTTAATATAAATGCAATTCATATTGCATTTTAGATCCCAAAGTAAATTACATCTCTGAGGGGACCGTCTTCATCAACTACTGAAGTGCACCACACACCAGGTGCTTTCTAAATTAAGGTTGTTTATTCTTATTATTGTTATTATTATTATGCATGACTGTACATTGGCCGCAAAAGAACAAGAAGAGAAGAAACACAACATTTCAGCTTCTGAACCTTCTTCGGGTGTGAGTCACTCACCTTCATTATTAGTATGTGAATTTGAGGTAAACCTGTGGTAGCTCCAGGGGATCTCCAGGGGAATTTAAGTCAGGATTTTAATTAGAAGGATTCACAAAAATGACGAGATTGCTTAGTAAATTATTTTTCAAGGCTCAACTCAACCCAGCAAGAACAAACTCCATGAAATACTGATTAGCAAAACGTCTGAGCCTTGTCACTGACTTGCTCAACTGGGCAGGGCAAGGTTATGTTTTGGCCCAGGCATAGTCAGGGTCTGTAACAACAGATGGAAGACAGAATGGGCGACAAGACAATGTGATCACATAAGATAATACTAAGACAGATGACATAGCAGTAGCAATGCAATAAACAGTGTTGATGATCCAGAATGTCATTACGCGGGTGAGTTTAAACGTGTATAAACAACACCTTCACACCTTCACAGCGGTATCTGGCTCAGAGGGAAGAGCAGATATTTTACCTTAGACATCTTACATTTCCAAATTAATCAAGTCCAGACCTTAGTTTCTAAGCCTCACAGTTACAGTCAGGTTGCCTTTTCCTCTAGCAATGTGAGTTATCCCTCCACAAAATAAAACTTTGAATATGTTATCATATTAATATTCATCACCACATTGATTAGGATTTGACTTACTAAAGCTATGAAATATGTTTATGCATACTAATTAGCTCTTGGTGTTGGCTCATCAGTGTGGCACTGCTAAGTTTATGTATGTATGTAAGGTTTAAGTTGTTCCTTTAGTGGGGGGTAATCTGGCATCCCATCTGCTACTCATGCTCTCTTGTCCACTTAAAGCCATGGAAACCAGGATAAGTTCTGGTCTGATGGGCTGTGTGGCTTAGATATGGAAATTATAGTATCTACATATATTATATACTAATTAAAAACATGCATTAATTGAGTAACTATGGGTTTAAACCTCAAATGAAGCCTGTCTTATAAAATAATATTAGCTCTGTAGAAGAAAATATAATATACTTACAATTTCTCAGTATTTGTTGATAGACATTGCTTGAGGGAATCTGGGAAACAAAACATTACAGAACTCCAGTGAAGTGACAAATTCCTAAGTGAACATTTTTCATTTTGTCCTGCGTGATATTTATTTTACAGCATAAGAAATAATGAGGGTCACAATGTCAGATTCTTTCCAAATTAATAATGTAAAAATTGTATTTCTACTGTAGGTAAAACGTCTATATAATGAAAAGATTCCAGGTAAATCTTTGTAAAAACTTACTGTAAGCAACCACAGAAACTGGCATCCATTAAACGGGAAGAAGAATGTGAAGAACATGATCATCATCATCACCAGATGTGTGTGCTGTAAAAAGAAAGAGCTTCTTTCTACAGACTTGAAACCAAATTTTGCCCAGTTAAATCTGAACACTGAAATAGTACCAGACCCTGAACTCTGAGAAGTCTTGCCGTGTTATTCATTCTGGAATATTCTAATTTACAGTTTTTGTATAATTGTAGGCTAAATAAATCTCAAGTAATAGATTTATTCCATGCTGAAAAAAAGAAGAAAGAGAACAAAACGTTTCAGCCGTGGAGCCTTCTTCAGGTGTAAATAAATTTCTCCTGTTTAATGTTTTGAATAGAATAAGGAAAAGGTTGCCCATTCATTTTAGGGCATCTTTTTGGAGAGGGTGATTTATTCCAATATAGAATTATTTTTATTCACTGTGACACAGGTTCCCTGTTTAACCTATTACAGTGTTGTTTCTGGAGTGAAGAGGTACGATTTTTCATGTTTGTAGAAAATATGGTGCTGAAACTCACAGTACTGTACATCTTGTGTGTGTTGATGTTTTTATTGTTAATCAATATTTATCTAACTTTGGGACTGGTTATTACTCTACTGTCAAGCTGTGCTGGACAACAAAAGATACATGTGACACTTTGTAAACCCTGACTTTAGGGAGTGGAATTATTAATATTTACTATTTATACATTTACTAAGTGGATGCTAAGACCTGGTTCTAATTTAATTTATATGTGATTGTGTAACTTTCTTTTTAGTATAACACCCTTAGGGTGTTACAATACATGTACCTGTAACTATTACACCACCACTGTGGTGCCAAAATAGGCAAGTGAAAAAGAAAACATCAATTCTAACAAAGGTGAGAGTGCAGTAGTACATCAGTATCAAAATATCAAAAATATTTATTTTAGTACACTATACAGTGAAACAAATAACAGAAAAAAAGGACACTTGGCATCACAACCTTCTATGTTGCTGATCAACTTTCTCTCTCTCTCATCAAAACAAAAGTATATCTCTATCTCCTCCCCCTAGCAGCAAACCACTGAGGGGGGTGTAACTCACAATAAGTAGGAAAAATGGCCATTTTGCAATTTCCTTTCATTTCAAACACGCTATATTTTAAACATATATACAATATTTTACCCAATATGAACTGTAGTTGTAATTTATGTTTACTAGGAATCAATTAGTTTCCCCCAGCTCAGAACATTTTCACCCGTGGCAAATAAAGACACCTACAGTATTTTGAATTGGTTCTTGTTCTCTTGGTCCTTCAAGCATATAAGTATTACTGCATCGGTTATATTGTATGAGTATCTGTAATGATTTTAGAGACCTTAGGAACCTTGATTCTTTAATTTTGTGTCTTATAATAACCCATGTGTGCACTCACAAGGCAATAGAGCTACAAAGCAAGTACAGTACAACCTCTCATTTGTTTGTGCAGTATCTTTCACACTGCAGAGTATTAACCTACACTGGGAGGTCGGCTTGTTCTTGTTCTGCAGGAAGTGGTTTTTCTGATAACGTTCTCTGAGCATATTTGAAATTAAGAATCAGTCAGGATGTTCCCTTAATCCCACTGGTATTCTCTGAGCTATTTGACTCAACATGCATTGTTGGAGTTCATACCCTGCGTGTCTTCCACAATGCCACTGTTTAAACACACAGTGGGAATGAAATGTGGGAATGAATGGGTTATCATTGGGACACCTAAAAATAGAACAACAACAATAACACAAATACCATAGTAGGTAAATCATTTTGAGGCTTTAAAGAACATAGAAGATTGACATTTAGTTTTAGTCAATGTTATTCTTGTGTAATCCTTGTGGGCCTCAAACATTGTATGAAGAGGGACACTAAGTGCTGGCAAAAGGCCCTGGAAGAGTAACTGATATGACATACATTATAAATGTGCTAGAAGTATACTTGTACCACAAGACAATAAAATAATTTCTCCCTTTTGAATGCTGGATGACGATCTCATGCTTTTCATATGTGTTTTGAAATTTAGTTAAGTTTCATCAGTAGTTATTATTTTTCTTAATACCCACTTAATTTCTAGGCATTCATTTTCATCATGCCAGGTCCTTCTGGTGAAAGTCATTATTACTCAGATCTAGTGATAACCAAAATAAAAGTTTAACAGCAGCGGGATAAATCCCATTGCCATTCACCTGTCCACCAGTAATAATATGTGACCATTATGGTATACACATTACAGTTATTTGATTATGCACTTTTTTATATTGCTACTTGCAGTACAGCATGTTATGGAGACAGATTGTCTGGTGAGGTGCTAATTATTTTCTGTAATATTATTATTTTTTAGGAGTCTTGGAAATATGTAATTAGCTATAAAATCTATATATTCTTTGCTGCAGCTCAGGAGGACAATGTTTAAGACTAGAATATCCATGTCATTGCTGTTTGCAGTTACATTTTAGTGCTATTTTAGGTTAAATTTGTTGTTTAATGTTCTTGAACATCTGAATACTTGGTTGTATTTCTACAGAAATGTAGAAACAATGAACTAATGTTACTGGTTTTAGGAAGGCTGGACATGTTTCTTCTAGAAAGTTTTAGCATTGCATACCCCATTGTATGGAAATGCCCATGTGTATTGCATCTACAGCATGATTTTAATGCCAACCATATGTTTTTATATATTTTTCTCTAAGTCTGTGTGTTTCTCTATGTTTTTGTAGACGTATATACTTAATAGGAACAAGCAATAGGTTTATTTCATGCTGAAAAGAGAAGAAAGAAGACACAAAGTTTTGCCTGTGGAGCCTTCTTTGGGTGTGAGGGCTCCACAGCCGAAACATTGTGTTTTCTTTCTTCTCTTTTCAGCATGAAATAAACCTATTGTTTGTTCCTTTGCAGCCTACGCATGCTGACGGAGCTACCCATCTGAACTACAGTACCTATATACTTAATGTGTGTTTAATGTGTTGGTTTTCATATGTTATCCGAGGATGCACACACAGGACCAACAATACTGGCCCATAACTGGCAGCCAGTTTGTGCCCCACATGGATTTTCCCATTAGGGCCATTCTGGTCCCATGTAAATGGTCTAATGAAGGCAAGCATACTGCCCCAAGTCACTGGCTCTATGTCAGAGCGTAGGGAGTTTGGCCCCCATGTACTCTAGTTGCACAGCAGTGAAGTCATTAGCCCAAGGATTTGAGGCTTTAATTTAAAAACAATGCTTGCTGCCTATAACACAATGCCAGTTCTGTGGTTGAAAAAGGCGGTGAATTTTTTATGGTTTGTGTCCATATACTAAGAATGATCTGCATGATTTGCACATATTTCTTATTTACAATAGCTGCAGGCTGCTTTGCTGCCATCTTGCTACTGATTAAATCCAGCCTTCTTCTCTGAATTTCATATACAAATACTTTATTCAATGACATTTATTTCCAACACACATAAAACAGTACTAAGTATACTTTCATCCATCCATTTTCTAAGCACTTTATCCAATAGAGGGTTGTGTGTGAGCTGGAGCCTAGTCCGACAAGCTACAGCCAGAAGATGGGATACAATGGGATGTCGGTCAATCGCAGGGCAGACAGAAACACAGATGCTCACACTCCAGGGCCAATTTTCCCAGAAACCAATTAAACTACCAGTATGTCTTGTGACTATGGGAGGAAACCAGAGCACCCAGGAAAAACACATGCAAACGCAGGGAGAATACACTGTACAAACTCACACAGACAGGGCTCAAAGTCCAGAATTGAACCCAGGACCCCAGTGCTGCGAGGGAGCAATGCTATCAAAGCTATCATGTCACCCTACTTTACTTTTAATGAGGAGTTTATATTAAATTCCAAATTATTTGAATTCCAAAAGCATGCAAGTGACATTATAAAAATTAAATTACCTCTGACAAAAAACAAGCCAGGATCCACATATATAGTGTGGACCTGGTCACAGTGATACTGCACTTTATTGCAACGGCAATTTACAGCAACTTCTCCTGCGTGCTTTTTTGTGGCACAGTGTTTAGCTGTTGTCTAAAAAAACGAATCCCCTTAACCAGATAAATCTACACATGGATATTGAATTTCTCACAATTCTGAAAGATTTCTTCTGAAGGAAAACAAAAACAGCTGGTGTTCATTGTTATGTGCAGTACAGTTAAATGAAATGTATTTTATTGTTGTTTCTTTTTGAAAAGTTAATGTTCTCTGTGGAGAACAAGATATGAAAATACAGAAAAAAGCAAATAAAAATGTTCTTTGTACCACTTCACATTCTGTTTTTAAATAATTGTTTGCATACTGCACATGCATATCAGTTACATAAAATGTGACTAATTTCTCTTCATAACAGCTTTTCTTTTAAGTTACCTTAAAATGTTTTCAGCCTGCTTGCACATTTCCTCTGTATTTCCCAAAGGTTTGACTGTATTTATACAAGCACAAAAAGAAAGAAAATGCAATGATTATGTTTATATACTTAATGGGAACTAAGAATACTGCATACATTACACATTCTTAAAAAAACAATTTATTCATTTACAGTATTTACAGAAACCCTGTTTAAGGATTTAAATGTCTTTTTTTTGCTGTTTAGTTCCCCACAGGGCAGCATAGTGGTGCTTATTGCTACTGCCTTCCAGCTCTGAGGTCCTGGGCCTGTGGTGTGGAATCTGTATGTTCTCTCCATGTGGGTATCTCTGGACTTTCCTTGTGTGTGTGTGCCCTGCGATGGACTAGTGTCCCATTACAGGTGTAGTGTTGAACTGCAATTTCTGAATTTGGCTCAGTCTTTGGTTTGCCATGATTCTTAGGGTGAATAAATGGCTCTTGGATAATGGATAGATGTGCGGTGATATAACAACTTGCACTCAATTCACAGAAACTTAACAGAAGATAATGCATCATACAATTTTACATCTGAAGATTTTTAATTAAGCAAGTACAGTACATATTAAAAAGTAAAATAATAGAAAAATAATGTAACAATCATTGATACGTATAACTTTGTTTGGTAGTGCTGTACTGTTATTCATTGAAGTGATACAAAATATATCAGTACCAATGATCAAATATTTTACAACCGTATTGTAGTGTATGTATGCACTGTAGTACAGTGATGATTGCTTTGTAACAGTCTCATTTCACATCATTAACAGACATTCTATCTTCTGATAAAGATCAGTAATACTTCAGACATTTTGTACTTTTGTATCTTTTGTATCTATACTGTATGACTTAAGCAAAATATATTTTGTAAGTAGCTTTAAAAGATGGTTTACATTTAAAGGGGACTTATTAAAAAAAGCTTTGCACCAGATTATTTTTCAATATTCGAGCTGAAATTGATCTCTAGCTACTTTTAAACCCCCTCAAAAATAATTCAAAGTTGTATAAAACATTTCCCACACCTACCTCTTACTGAATTTCCAGTTCAAAACTTGCACATGTACAAAACGTTTTGATTATCTCCCTGATAATGAACTTCATTTTGAGTCTTTAGAATTAAAACAGCTTTTATCAATATGTAGCATTCTCTATATCCATGTGAGTGTCCCCACTGCTGTCAGGACTGATTGTGCTGTTACGTTTGACTATATAGGTAGTAACGTCTACTGTACCTATATAAGTGCTCTATATGAAAGTGAAACTTTTATTTTAGACACTAATGCTAAAATGTTTTTTCCATGTATACATAAACTCAAAGAGTATTCATATTCTATTGTTGGTCCATTTTGCTAGGTGCTGAATCTAAAAAAAGATGGTTTGAGTATTTATGTTGCATTGCACAAGATAAATCTAGTTCTATATTTTAAAGCTGGAAATCATCACTTTGGTATAAATGTTAAAGCATAAATGTTAGTAGGATTACAGTGTCAGATGGAAAAAATCCAGCTTTATGTATGAATTGAAGCAGAATAAAAATTGCCTAAATTTATGTACAGTATGTCCTGTACTATAAACCATACATTTTAGTCTGACATACTACTAGTCCAATGTACAATGTTTTCTCTTCCCATATGTTTGGTTGTACAGAGTCAATTTAACATTTCACTCGAAGGTGTCATGTTATTAATAATCCACAAGTTCAAGTTTAGTCATATCCCATGCAACTATCAATAGCCAATATTTTTTAATAAGTGTGTCATAGTTTAAATATGCATTTTATCTTCCAAGCTTGCATAAACATTACCAAAAATATATTAAGAAAATAACAGCTATTTACATTTTTGAGAATCTTGATTTAGAGGACTTTTAAATGGTGCATAGAATATACAGACTGATATTTACATATGTAATGAAGCTGTGGGCTGTAATTGCATTTATTTAAATTCGATTTTCTATTTATTTTGGGTCATGTTTGAGGAAACTCCATAAAGATTTACAATTATCAATTTTTTAAGGTTTAGTTTTCAAATTATCTTGATAATCATACAGGGCAAGGTGGTTACCTCACAGTACTCCTTTATTCATTTGGTCATAACCCACAATGTTACAGTAGGTGCTGTTAATGATTTTTCTTTCTTTTTCAATGTCAAGTGAGCCACTGAAATACATTCAAGAAATTAGTGTCAATCCCTGCTTTGTAAGCAATTTCCCCTAGCTTTGTTTGAGACTTTTTTTCCACAAGGTTTTATATCAGTGTCAAAAAGTACTGTGTCATCCGGTGGTTAAGTTGTGCAAAGACATTGTTATATTGTAGGATGCGGATTTAAAATGAGCTATGTGCTTACAGACTGTCTGGTGTTTAGTTTGGGGCACTAGTCATGCTTATATAACATTGCTTCATGCTTGAAGAGCAGTATTCTGATTTGCCAGCAGTGACGACAAGATTTATTCTCAGCTTCAAACAATATCAGAAACAGAGCAGAAAATGAGGATCGAGTCATTTTCCCACAGGACTATACTTTTCCTCTTGGTCCAGAATAATCTATTGTCACATTCAGAAATTCAGAGCAGGTTTTCACAACTGAGAGCTTTACAGATTTTATTAGCATTTATAAGACCTCATTACATACTGAAAATGCAAATGGTCTTCTTTGAATGTAAAAGATTGGAACTGATGAGTACAACTTTTTTTCTTATTGTTTGTTTGACTATCAGAAAAAAAATAGTAACACTCAATGGCTACAGGACTAGAATAAACTTCTGGCAAACTGGTACAAAAATATGAAAAATGTAAGGCTTTTTGAAATGTATGATACAGTAAAAATGATTTTGCATTTGCCTTTGTATTTTTGAGGGCAGCAGCAACAAATTAATTAATCCTTCTAGACTATCCCCTGAACACACAGTAGGCTATGTACAGTACACAAATGGTTTGAGTTAGACCAATTCAAGTCTAAATACAGCTATCCTTAAAATGTTGCATCCCTTAAGACTTCCACCCAAATGAGGGTTTTTTAACAATCAATTTTTAGCATTAATAACAAATAACACAACTGTATTAAAGGGAATTAAGCAATAAAATGTTTTATATTGTGCCTGTATTGCAGCATTACAGTCCAACGTTTGGTAAAAACTGGTTATGCTCCTATGCTCGATTTCCTAATATCATTGAAGGCAAAAGAGGACTTAAATTAATTTGCGCAAAATTATATAATAAACACACCACTTTATTGCTGTTTCCCTAAACAGTGTAAAATAGTCAGTGCTGTACTATTGCAGGGGTTGAAAACTATAGGATATAATCCAAAATTGCAGAGTAATAAACAGTACTTTATGATGAGAGGGCTGCACTCAGAGGAAGCCCAGCAACACTGTTCCTAATTCTGAAAAATGTTATTGTTTTATTGTTGCATTTGCTGTTGTCTTTCTTAAAGTTATACACCTCAAAATCATTATTTTATTCCATAGGTTTGTATTCAATGCAGTTTTTGTGCTGGTAGCTTTCTTTTATTGGACATTGGATCTCTTATGCACTTTTTCCCATTTGGTGTGAACATTGTGATCTTATTATGTTTCTTACGCTTGTCCCAGTTATTTGAACTGCATTTTGAAGAAATATTCATCAGGCCAATGATGAATGATAAGCTGTTTCAGTTCTTGAAGTTCAGCATCATCTCCTGCTTGGAATATTGCACAAGGTATACAAAGCCTTCCTATTTTTTAAAATATAATTACTTTGAAAAAATTGAATGGAAGTAGAAAATAACACTCTAAAGCCACAGAAATCTGAAAGAAAAACTGTGCAATTAAAAATATTCTGAGAAATACAAACTTCTAATAAACCAGTACCGTGGGCATCGCCATAGAATATTTTCTGCTCTGCATATTTGGAAAAAATAAAATAAACATTTATTTTACAATATTAAAATGGATAAACAGGGACTATTATATTCGATTTTGAAAAAGCTTAGAGCAAATCAAAAACTTCCTTGCGTTGTTTGCTTTATATGACAAACTGGTGCTTATGTTTATTAATGACCACAGCTTATGGCCCCATGTGTGCTGATGGAAGTTGTTAGAATATTAGTAAGGATACAAAAAACAGATCCATTGATCCTACTGGCAGGCCTGATGGTTAAAGGGAAATAGTTCATCTCTTCTGTGAAGCTTGCTGGGTATGATGAGTCCATGTTTTGTTGCCAACTGATGATTTTGCAGTTTACTTAACTGCTCATCCAGGGGTACAGAGGCCGCTTTGATATCCTTTGAGGTCTGACTTCCATCTATAGTTTCAGTCTTGTCATCCCATTAAAACCTGCACTTTCAAGTGGAGGAGCTAAAAAAACAATCAATAAAGAACAAAAACAATTTTACAGTGTCCATTCAAACATGCAAAAGATATGAAAGTGTTTCTTCGGATACGTAAGGCACTAATATTATTCCTTATGTAAAAAAAACTGCACTTGCATTCTGGCAAGATATAACAGCCCTATAATCAGAGCTAGGAATTCCTCTTTGCACTGCAGTCTCAGATTCATTAGCTGGTACAAGGCATAAAGTGATCCTTCAGCATTTCAAATACATTAGTAAATAAGTAAAAAAGCAAGGCCTGGATGACTCAAGCCAAATGAAAAGAGCCAAAAGCATCAGGTTTAGTTAAACTAAGATGTCAATTAATCCTTGTTCAGTCTGTGATAAGCGATTCATTTTTTCATTGCTTAATGTAAATGTAATAGATATCAACTTAATAAGGGAAGTTGCACAAGTCCTTTCATTTGACTACCGCATAGAATGCAGTTAGGTTTTGCCATACAACTGTCGTAATTCAGGTTTGAGTACTCTTTACAGGTGACAACCGAGAGACCAGGCCTTGTCACTTGAGATGCTCAATGACAGCGATCTCTCCACTGGCGCAGTTTGGACTCAGGCCATTTAGGTACAGGCTGCCATTCCTCGTGAGGGGGGGAAAGACATCTCTCTCCTTTTCATCAGTGAAGTTGACAGACAGAGTCCTCTTCCCGGCGGTCAACTCCTGATTGGGATTGAGCCCAAGCTCTGCAGACAGTTTTCTCTTGATGGATGCGGCACGTTGGAACTTGTCGTAAATTTCCACACTCAGTCGCCTACGAGTCTCTTTAAACTCTGCAGAAACATTAGCTGTCCATTCTGCGGCATGAGCTCGGAATTCCCCTACCTGATGAAGAGGACAGAAGAAACAAAACTTACCAGAGAAACACATTCAACTATCAACCTGCTGTCTACACCTTCAACACTAATGAATCAAGACTAACCATATCAACAGTGTGAAAGATTTTCTTTTTATCCAGGAATAAAATCAAGTAGAAAAGCAACATTTAAACACTATACTATTGGTTTTAAACATTTTTGTCATGTTTTGTAATTATACTTTTGAAAAAAAGGACAATTTTGGAGATGCATGTTTTGCAAAGACATTGTGTTAAACTATAAATACTGTTCGATTTTCTCACACTGCAAATAACCCTTGAAATAACAGTGTGTGATTTCTTATTTTTGTTCTTTTTTAGCAGCTGTTAATTCTAAAAACAACATAATGACCTATACATTGTATAAATACTAAAATCTCATTTGTATAAGACTTGTAAGGCTTTGTTTTAAAGATTTCATTATTTATTTCCATTCCCATACCTGTTATCTTTTACAATTGTAATATGCTTTTCTTAGACGTACTTACTGATCATATAATGATGTAATGACTCGAAACACATGCATGGTATTTGGTTTAATCATACCAGGAACAATTAATTCCTGAGAACAAGATATTCCTGAGTATAGCTCCTGATAACTATAATATTCTGGCATATTCATTCCAATCAATTAACACTTAACAGAACAGATCATTTACTTTATTGGTTAAAGTAAAATAGTTCCAAGTGCAAAAGCGAATGGAATTATGGTGACCTACAAATACTGCTGGCTGACCAGGGTCGGACAGTCCTGTACTTCAACTAAAGGATGGTGCTGACTACCAGGTTAGTTTTAAAGCACACAGAAATCTTCAGAAAGATAATTTACTGCTCTTTTTCCTGATTTCTTAGGCTCTCAGCCTTCCAATGATATTTATGTCCACTAACTGATGACCACTTCCTACTATATTTAAAAACAGCACCATTTGAAAATGGCATTTAATCAATGGCCTGGCCTTCTTATCCTTTCCTTTTAAGGAAAACATTAATGATATGCTAACCCTAAAAACCATTAACATTCAGAGACATACAGAATGATTAAATGATTCATGTATTTTATAACAATCATACTGACACCAGCTGAATTGATTCAGCTGGATGAAATTTTTAATATGATTACGTTTTAAACACAAGAATAGTGATATCCATGTATATGGTGCCTTTCATCCCAGAACACTTTCAGTGGAATTATAATGGGCTGGCATGCTTTTGTCTAATAAATCAAGCATCTCTGAGCATTTGTGATCACAATAGGCTTGCAGACCTGAACATGGATTTATTACATTATTTTCCAGGATCATTCAAACTCTGTTTAGGTTAATGAGAAGATAAGTGACATGGTCATTGCTACAATAGATGAACATCCTTGGCATTGAAATGGTTCAACACCTGATCTTGTGTGAAATTTAATTTGAAATGGACTTTGTATAAAACTGCTTGTAAATGATTTGTAAATCATAGTATCTCCGCTTTGCACATACAGTATAACTTATATTAAAACATAAAATATGTTTAAATGTCAATATGTCATGTGCACTGTTTCTTTTGCTGGAGTAGGGTACCTATTATCCCACAATGAGAAAAAAAAAAACTAAGTGATGAAGATCTCCAAAATGAGCAGCCACAATACAGTATATAAGCAGATAAACAACAGATAAGCAATAGATAAGCAGAATTATGATGAAAATTATAATGAACTGGTTAACCTAGCTAGCAAGCCTTTGGAAAGTGAAAGGATGCAAATCTACGCAAACAAAGGCAAATCTACGCCACCTTTTACATGGACCATCAAGCACAAAATGTTTTTAAACTGTGTATCATGTTGATGTTTAAAACTATGCTGGACAATGCTCAAAGTTCTTCTAAATCGTGTGTGTTATTGTGTACATTTGTTCTCCTCTTTTCTGACTATATTCTGAATACTAATTTCAGCTTTTAAAGTTGCTTTTATTTTTAATCTTGCATTCCATTTGTATTCCTTATGTTTTATTAATAAAATGTCCAATCGCACACTCGTTTTTGATAATATGAATCTGTTGGCAGAGTTACACCAAGGTTAAAAAGGAATATATTTGTTGCACTAGAAACATTTAAAATGTCCTGGGAATGCATTAAATTATAAATGAAAGCCTGTACAGTAACAGGTTATGTATGCTGAAAACACTGCTTTTATCTTTCAAAAATAGAACATAGACTTCACCATTAAACTTTCCTGAAATGCAAGTTTTGATGTAGAACATTAATGCTAACAGTCCTGTGTGAAGATTATATTTTGTTTAATGTACCAGAGATTTGTGTATTTAATAGACAGTAGATAACAACCTTTGAGTGTCATTTGGAATCCCCATTGATTGTTCTCATTTTTAAATAAAGTATTTATATACAGAACACACCTTTAATATTACTGTATTAGTAACAAAGGTAATATTAAAGTAGTAAACGCTAGGCAGTGCTGATAAAACCAACTGAATTTCAGGGAAATTTTATATGCTATTAGTCTGCTTAATATAAGAAGACAATGAAAGATATGATTAGATTAATGTCAAAAAGAAAAACCATGCTTTTCTTTTAAATGACCAACTATTTCATATGATGATTCAACCAAAAGCATTTGTATTACAGACTGGAAAAGCTCACATTATTTTATTTACTGTATAAACCATTCAGTTGAGAAACCTATAGTAGTTTTCTAATTCTTTCTCTGATCAGTCTCAAGAACAATCCAGCACAATTTTCATTATAATTCTAGTATGAGTGAATTCCCTGAAATACCATTAGGAACATACACTAGTGCTGGCTGTTGGCACTTTGCCTGGATAGGAGCAAAGAGCTGAGCCTTCTCCCTAGGCGGATATGACTGCTGAAACAGGTTCATGGAATTGAAGGACTTAATGTAAATACCGCTGATTATCTGTATGCCAAATACAACTATATTGTCCTTGCTGGCACCACATTACTCCTGGTTGTATTCTTTTAACACCTAGGTCCTACAGTAGCTTCTATGACCTCCTCTGATGTCATGCTTCTGGTCCTAGTGCCCCTTTCACACGCTAAGTCTTGTCACAGACCTTCACTTGCAGACTTGGAGCAAAGGGACATGAACAGCCACATCCCATACTAATCTGTTGTGGGTAGAAGCAGTACAAATCCTCTCTTGGTTGTGCTTATTTGAGCTAAAACCACCTAACTCTGCTATTATCTTACCAGAGGCAACAACTGTGTCTGCCTTTATTTGAGAGCCTCCTCCAGCTCCTCGCTGCATCACTATCTCAGAGTTCCCAGCTCACACTAGTAACACATTAGCAGCTACTGGCTCACCTCACCTTTGGCCAGCCTACCCTTCAAATTTGTGTCAGTTTACAACCATTGTGCCTCAACCCTGTGCTACCAGGCTGCGTCTCACACACTTATTGAACATCATGAATCACACTGGCAGCACCGGCTCAGGCTCCACTAGTCTGCCTCTCCTAGTCAGCCCTGGCCTTTATGTGGGTTCCAACAATCTGCCTTTTACAGTCTTTAAACATACTAGTAGCAACTGCTGATGCCCAGTCAATATTATCTTCGACTCTCCGTCCACATCGACTTCATGTCGATCATGGCCGTATTCACTATCGGCTGTAGAAGCTGCCAGAGCATCTCAACCAAACAAATCTGTTCTTTGGCTTCCCATCAGCATACAGCCACTAGTGCCTCAATTTGCAGCTGCTGGCACACCCCTCAAGCCATAACACTGCAACACAACACACTCACACAATATAGACAGATCCCCTCTGGGTTCCTAGGTCTCAAGTTGCTCCCCTTCCGGGGAAACTTGTCCAGTCTTCTGTCTTCCACACAGCACTCATTCCACAGTTGAAAGATCACACATTTTCTTTTCACTGATTGTCAATACTATGAAAATTGAGTTTTAAAGCTGCCTCAGGAATAGAAGCTAACAAAACTGGTCCAGATTGATTGATGATTTGAAACATCTTATCCAATATATTCCATATATTCGTAAAGGACATTTCAGATCCACAGATTCTTTCTGGTGTTTAGCTCTTATCCATAAAAAGAGTTGTACTTGATAATTCAGCACTACTGGCACCTCATTCTATTACTTTCCTTCATGTTTTATAGACAGGTTCTCTCCCCTCTAGTTTTTAAAATTTAAACTTGGGGACACTTGTTTTCATTGACTTCTCTCTAACTTACATCTGTACAAATAACTAAAGTGACACTGGTCCTCCAGTTATACAGTATACTGTAGCAAGTTTTAGTCTTTTGTTGTGTTATGTGAGCACTTAATCACATTTTAAATTGCCTAGGCTTTTTAGAAAATTTGTGGTAATGTTTGGAAATTCAAAAACACAGGACAAATGCTGAAAACCCCTGATATGTTTTATAATCATTAAAGAATATGTGCCATGGTACCTTTCATAATCAAGTTTAGTGTATTAACTAAAATTACAAGATTATTTTAATAGCTTTAGATGTTAGTCACATAGATATAACATCTGGAGGGAGAAGCCACACAGGAAGTGATGTTGTAAGAAACGTATATTTCAGGTGTCCAAAACGTGTTTTCAGTTCTGTATTAGCTCTTATGAGTTAATTGTGCAAAACTATTGTGAGGTATTTCTGTAGCTCCTGTATACATTACATTTTTACACATACACTAGATAAAAAAACGGGAACTCTTGTCACTCTACTACAACATTGTTTTGGAAATAACATAAAAAGCTCACATTAATACAAAGATTATTGTTTGAAGAAATATCCTCATAAATACATCCTCATAAGTAGAAAAAAACATTCTCATATCCATAACATATCCTGATTTAAACATTCTATTGTGTTGGTTTGTTGAAAAATGAACTAAAATGATGATATACAGTACAGTAAGAATCTTAAAACATGACATTTTTTATTGTATGAAGTTTGACATCTCTAAGATGGAGTGCATTATTTAGCTCAAAATCTCAGGTTTGTCATGAATCTCACAAAATATACGTTTATTTTTCTATTTTTGTTTGTTATTACATCATACAAAGAAGAGTGACATACCTCCTCTTTTGTTTTCTTGGATATAACACGAAGCCAGTCTCCAATCATGCTCAGGACTGCAGCAAAGTAGGCGAGGCCAACCAAGATCCAGAACCACACAACTGGTTTATAGTAGTCCTGGTACTCTATTTCTGAGCCACCTAGACCATGAAAAGGCAAGAGTTTTATCTTAGCTAAACTGAAACTCCATTTCTGGGGCTGTCTGAGGTATACGTTTTTCATCTAAAACAGATTATTACTCATATACTTTGTGTTCATTTTCATCGATGTTACCTCAGAATTTCATATAGTTTTTTTTGTTGTATTGGTAACTGCTTTATTTTCCAGTTCTCTTCTTTGACATGTACAGAACATTTCATGAGTGATAATCCATGTGTCACCAGCACTGACGATGGAAAACCTGAGGTGCCTATTCTTTTATGGTGATGATTTAACAGATGTTTGAGAGGAGTTCAAATTCTGATGTTGCTCTGCATACATATTTTCTCACACCCCTCCCTGCTTCCCAACTTCACTGTTGAAGCAGCTCCCTGGCTCATTCCTTTTAAGTGACAGGGGTTGTGACAGCACGGATCTCCGGCCAGTGCTATAATTTCCTCAGCCAAGGTCATTACTAAGCTCAATATCCCTTTATTTTCTTCATTGTTATTAGAATTTGATCAAACTACTGAAACAATACTTCGTTGAACTGATGTTTTCCACATTTTCATAAGTAACTGGTGAGGCAATCATCACTAAATACTAAATATTTAAAATTTCAATATATACTCCAAATACTGAAATACACATTTATTTTCCAAAACCTTGCACAACATTAATTTTCAATAGTGTACACTGTATGCCTCCCTCCACCCTTTAAAAGAAAGATAAAAAAGGCAAGTGGGTAGGATTGTTTCTGGTCTTCCCAGTACCATTTAACAACAATAATTTCATGTTTGATTAAAAATGAAAACTGAACCTTCACACATTTCAAGCAGTATTATTTTCAGCCAAGGGTATAGCAAGATATAAAAAAGAAGTGGATTACCAGCAACATCAGTGTGATAAAAAGTTGTATTGCTAACATAAAATCAACTTAACAGTTTTTTTCTTGTTTGGTCCATGATACATATTCCTACAGTACTTTATTTTTGCTGTGACTTGACAGAATGTACAGTACCTGAATACATTAACATGGATCTGGTATAAACACACAGCTAAGTGGACATTGGGTTTGCAGAAGTTTCCTGAATATCATGTGAAAATGTGATTTTTCCACAAAGATGCCAAGGCCATTTACACAAGGTCTATTCACCTGAGAAAAACTACTGGTCTACTGGTCTGTTTACCTGCTCATTTATTGTTTACCTAGGGAAATCAGAGATATTCCCTCTTTAATTATGTAAGTACACTGTAAGTTAAAAGATTAATTTTTTTGTTCAAATATTTGACAGGTGTCTCAGTTACACAGGTTGATAAAATATGCTTTTGTTTATTCATAAATACCTAGAGACAGCTTAGTGTGACAACCCAATGAAGCTGAAAATGTTATACTGTAGATACAATAACAGCTTATTGCTTAATGTTTTTAAGAGGAACAATTTATTATATACAGTATCAACCTTATTATTCTATAATAAAGACAAGAGACTTGATTATAAAATCAAAAGTTTATTATTCTCTACTTCTGCATTATATATAAAGAGGTTTAGATGGAAAAATATTCTCTTTAATTTAAATTTATTTTTTGTCATACAAATTATTTGTTATGACTTAGCAACTTTATGGAAATTTAATTTGAACTTAAACCATAAGTTGCTTGTTTAGCTCATTTGCTTTGGCTTTTAGAGGATGCTTCTCTTGTTTGACCAAACTTGAGTTTCTTGACATATTTTTCCTAAGGTCTCTAATGTTTCAAGATTGTTTTTTATAGAAACAATACTGGAGAGTAATTTTAATCAGGCACTCTCTTCTAAATGTACAGTCATCACTGAAATAAAGGAAATATGTACAATAATGACTTATTGACTATGCCTGAGAGGGGAAAAATGAAAAAAAAAACTGTCATGTCCTAAGAAGTTATCACATTCATTTTTAATAACTACATTTCAACCTTGTGAAAATAATTTACATTATAATTTTGCTCATTTTCTCAAGAAACAATTTACTAGATTGTCGTTAGTCAGAAGAGGGTTACTCAGCTGGTTAATTGTAATGTAAAGAACGTACCTATGAAATGTCAATATAATCAACGGAGATACAGTACCTTAGAAAGATGAGCTTGTCAAAAGCAGCACATTCCAACTAATTAGTACTTTTTGAGTAAGAAGCACAACAGAAGGATTCATTCTAAATGATCAATCCAGCATAGATCGTGAATATGTACTTGTACTTCACAATTGAAGTACTTGGTTCAGACTGTAAATTCTTAGACCAGGTGTGACAGTATCAAAAAAGATCTCCAAAATTACTAAGGCACTCTGACATTGCACACAATTGATAAAGCATTGTGTACTGAACCCTTTAGTGTGCTGAAATACTTCCCCACCAGCAACTCTGAAGTTTTTTTACAGTAGCATTTATGAAGAATAATGGACTGTATAAAGGAGGCTGGCATATCCTACAGTAACACCTGAATTAATAAATGTTTTCCATGGAGCAGTAGAATTTTGTACACAAATGGGCCCATGGGAAATATATTTCCACAGACAATGACAGTACCCTCCAGAGCATACTGTACTACCTTTTAGGTAGCCCAAAAAATGAATGGTAAATGAATTGAACTGCCAGGGTAGAAAATTGTCAGCAAACCAGCCAGTTTTCTGTCATTCAAAATGGATAATAACAAGAAAGTACTTACAAACAAGAAGAGGACATTTTACCTATAATTCCCATAGCTTTTTCTTGGTTGCTAGTAGCTTGATCCAAGGTTTCAACTAGTACTTTTTTAAAGAATAAGCTTCAATTACTGTAGGTGGTTCCTACAGCCTTGTGCAGATATCAGTCTTTGTGTGAAGAACATTTATCGTACACTTTTTTCTATCTTTAATTGTCCTGAAGTTAGGTCCTTGATTAATTTCTGAGTACAAGGTAATAAACTAGATTCACTGTGATTCACTGTCAATTTTGAATAGTTGTTTTAAGTCCCTTTTTGTATTTAGCCACCTCTTCTCTTTTGTCATGAAATTCCCATTTAAATCTGGAGATACTTTAGTTTTGCTTTGAACACTTCCTAGCTTAACAAATCCCTTTTTGTAGTGTGGAAATGAATGTGCTAATGCTTAGTAACAGTATACAAGACAATTAAGACATTTCAAAAGATGTTGACTCACTCACTATGTGGAAACCCAGAAACACCTGTGAAAGCCAGACAAACTGCAGTGAAAGCTGCACAGAAGAGTCCTTATTTAGAAGACAGCATGTGATAAGCTACCCATGTTGTCAAAACTGACAACCTGGAGTCTCTCAAGCAATAGCTGTTGGAGACCCCCAGATAAATTATTTGGTTGCCATAGTATGGGTGCCGTATACTGTATACTTCTGAATTTTTTTATGTTCTTCTAATTTTCTGTCAAAATCAAATTCTTTATATGCTTTCATGATTTTAACTTTATCAGTTTAGAGTATATTATGGAGATTCTAAGAATAAAGTTCTATGTGAACATGTCATGATTGCAAGCTCAAGCAGCAACAATATGGGGAACGTTTGCCAAAGGAACAATCATTTTGCAAGGTTCTGTAATTGGCAGTCTGTTTTTCATGGGTCCATATGAATGTGTACCAATTTTCCCTGTTCCACGGTGCATGCTTTTCACAGTACAGTTGTTTGGACAGACCACCTTACTTCGTAAGCTTTATTTAATACAGCAAGCACATAAAAATTGCATTGCTGATACTGCTCCTTTAAAGTAGTGTGGACTAAGACACAGCTGAATCAAATTGTTTATTTCTTTTTTTAGCATTTGATTTCCCAAAACAGCAAAACATGCTTTCACTAAAATTATATACTTACCTGCAACAAAATCTCCAAATCCAATTGTCGTTAAGGTGATGACAACAAAATAAATGGACTCTAGAGCACTCCAGCCCTCTATGTGTTTAAATATAATTGCAGGGATGGCTACAAACAGGAGGCAACCGAAGAGGATAAACAACACTGTGGATGTCACTCGTATTTTGGTCTGGCTCACATTCCATTTCTGGAAAACAAAACAAAATTATGTTAGGGCAGGGCTCACAGTACTGTTTGCATTTCTTTTTGGCTTAGGTGTTATCTAAATCTATCAAGAGAAAACATTGTGCATACTGACCACATCCAAACACTTTATCCCTATAATCTAATATTGTTTACTATATACTGTATATGGTGTATCTATCTGGGCTGCTGGGGGCAACAGTGACATAGCTAGCTCATTGGATATTTAACATGAGTCTAATACCGAAGATACCAAGTATCCAAATATACCCTGATATTTCTTTAGAGAGCAAGGGGTTAATTAGACAGTAATGACAAGCCCCCCATCATTTATTTTATTCTTTAATATTAAGAAAATAATACTGGAAGCACAAATGTTTACATAATATTTACGTAGTTGCATTTCCGGGTTGAACTTCGTTTCAAAGGTTTTGCACTTTGGTAGAAATGACCAATCTATTACAATTCAGAATAATCTAAACAAAGCAGTTTCACAGCTTTCAAACATGTGTCACTGTCATGAAGTACAACAGTAAAGCACTGCACTAGTAAGGCTGTTACAGAGTATGTTAGCTGAAAGCAAAAGTACTCTGTAACAGCCTTACTACAAAGTTTCTGGCTTTATTAGTATGCAAACTACAAAGCACCTAGAAAAAGCTCTGTTATGAAATACTGCAGTAAGGCAATGCAGCAGTTTCAAAATCAATCTGAGAATCACAAGAAAGTTATTACTCCATTTACACATGTATATTTGTAGAAAAATATCCCCATTTTGGATCTTGATTAAACATATATGGAAATATTTTGATTAATTTATCACTATAAAATTATGAATGAAGACTTTGTACCAAGTGGTACAGTACTTTATAATAGTACAATGTGAAAAAAAATCAAAACACAGGTGCCCTTCTGTTAACAGATCTTGGAAAAATTTTTAAATGTTATTTTATTTTTGAAAGAATGGTGTCAGTAAACCCATTGGAGGTTTATAAAATAAAGTTGCAGTGTAACTATCAGTTTCATTATTATATTAATTAATAATGCAATTGAATGTGGTACAGCACATTACTGAAATCAGTTAGATTACCTCTAAGCAATTTTTATAACTTTTATTTCAAGTGAGTTGCAACATTTTCATATCTCCTTTTACTGAAATTGAAAACATACATGTAGTAGCTTTTCATTTCTCTCCTGGTCAACATTTTGAAAAAGATATCTCTTTTGCACAGTTAGTAAAACAGATTCCACAGGTACAACTACGTTTTAATTCTTTTTGTATACCACTGTAGCTACTGTATCATCAGTATAGGAAATGTAATATCCCAGTCAGACACCAGCAAAATAGAGCAGTTTATTTTCTTAGGGGCTCAGTTAAGCATTCTGTAGAAATGTTTCTCACTAAAAGCATTGCAAACAATTTCTGTTCTGTGGGCAAAGCCACATTATAGGTATAAATTATGTATAAATGAAGGATAATGTTATTGTGTTACCGAAAACAAGTAATTCTTGCACATTTTCTGTGTGACTGGCATCCATCTATTCAAACCTACTGTAACTCTTTCTGGTCATCATGATTTTCATATTAATGAAGACACAAATAATTCTCACACATTTGCTTTGCTCCTTACACCCACTCCATAACAACCATAACTGCCACATTGCTTTACTACAGTATTTCACGACAATGGAATATGCTTGCAAGTTGTGAACAGTGCTGCTAGTTCTAATATGTTTTTTTTTATTTTCCATAGTATTTTATTTATAAACCCTGCAATAAGAAAGGATTTGTTACAGCCTAAGGTAGGGTTTCTTTTCCATGAAACAGCACAAGCCACAGTACTGGTAATCTGTAGTGATACTGTAAGCACAATTTGTATTACTCAGTTATCATCATTACAGTCATTCTAGCTCCAATAATGCACAGAATGTTCCACATGACTGCTGTTTCTCTTTTCAGTTGCATCATATCCAAGACATCAATTGCCTGTAAACTTACAGCACGTAATCAAATGCACAGTTTACACTGGGAGGTTAATGCTTTTTGGCTGCCATAGAATTGGAATACGATTCCTTTATAGCCAAATCTTAATTCAGTTTCTGTATAAAGATCCCTTCTTCCCTTTCAACAACAGCACTAGGACGCAAACATGCTGCAGAGATGCAATAAAGATCTTCTGCTCCTACAGTACATGAAATCCAACATTTGAGCCAGGCTAATACAATCCATTACTCATGGAGTATTGTACATGGTGTTGGATAAAGTTACTTTTTAAAAAGTAATTAATTACTGTACTTCTGGGGAACGTTTTAGGAAATTGCTATATATAGGAAGTAGAAAATGGTATACATCAACCAACCAGAAAAAAACAAAGGAGACTGAAATATATGTGATTTTTACTATTGTAATATGTGAATCAGATTCACGTTGTTCTTGTCTGTGTCTATTTTTTTTCGAGCTAATAAAATGGACACATACAGTTCTCGCCAACATCATCATGTTGCTGGGATATCAGGTAAAAAAGCATGAAGGAATAATTACTTCCCCCCACACAATAGCTCTTATTAGGAAAGAGTCTTTTATATTATAATATTACACTATTAATTTGGCAGAAACGTTTACCTAAAGCAATTGACATTTTTATCCATTTATGCAGCTAAGCATTTTGCAAAAGCAGAGCAAAGTACTGTACCTCACTCAAGGTACTACAGCAGTGCTCTCTTTAGGATTTTAACCCAATGGAATAATATTAATATCTACTACAATAACTACTCCACACTGCGGTTTTTGAACCAAGGAGTTCATCCAAACAATGTCAGACAACTCGCAGACCAATGTTTAATCACAAAGATAAAAATGATAATGTGGGGGATATGATTTTAATGTCAAATTATTTAAAAATTTTATTATGGTGTTCATTAGGTCTTGGTCCAAACTAAAGTTGACTATAATCTTAATTAGGATGATACTGCTCGAAAGCAACTGTTTGATGCAGTCTTTAAGAAAGCTCCTTGTGATCAGGACACTGGTTTGAGAATTGTTTAATATTCTTACAATACATTATAATACTTCAGTATAATACAATTATGGTTATTACATACTATATGAAGGAAATTATCATATTTTAATTTCTATTTTATCCACAAGAAATACATTTTATTTTTAGAGGTAAGCATACTTGATGTCACTTTGCAAGAAAGTAGCTAGGATGGAAGCGCCTCTGTGACATACAGTACTGTAAAACACACACCATTTTCTTACGTTATACCTTTTATTGCATCACATGAGGAAGAGGAAATTTTGACATCTACATGTACAGTATATATGGGTTTTCAATCTCAGCTCCTGCTGGGCCTAGTGTTTTCTGTTTTTTCTTGCACCCAAACTCTTAGATACATAGTTGGCCATAATAATAAGTGTATAACTGTAATACTTCTAAATAGACACAGAGGTACAGTATACTGTATATACACGACAGTATAATTAATTAAGTGTATGTTATGAGTAATCAGCTGTAAATGTGTGAATAAGAAAATAATTAGTTTTTGACTATTCAGGTTGGTATAAAAACCCAGTAGACACTTGGCCTTCCAGAGTGAGTCTGAAATCTCTTTTTTAAATGATGTAAGAATGAGTACATGACATTTAAACATTTTCAGCTGCTTCTACACCCATCTGTAAGTTATTTATTGTTTTTTCAAAAAGAAACACAATAAAACAAGATTTCTCAAAATAAAAACTACAAAAAGTACAAAAAGGGATACCTCCTCCTCTCAACTCTTCTTGCTACTTGCTACTGGTGTCCCTACTCTACCAAACATGTGCTGCAAAACTAAACTCCTGACTGTGAGTCTGACACAATTTATATACTGTATCACCAGTATACCATGTGAAATTCCCCGGTTACAATTGTACGATCACACATACAAATGGACTACTCAAAATAAGTGTAAACTACTCATAAAAACCTTTGGGTCCAACTTCAATGGAAGCTTTTCTGCCACTGTGTCTAACACAACTTTCTGTTCCACACTCCATTGCACATTAGTGACAGATCTCGACTTGCAGCTCAGGCCAATAAGTTTGAGCTTTTTGCAGAATGTTTAGTAAAGTCTCTTTGCTAAACATTGAATCAGAACAGCATGATTAATATCACATTTTGCTGACTTACAACAGCAGGTATACTTTGCATTGAATAGGTAAACGATATTTGATCATTATTAAGGACCCTTTGAAGGACTAGGCAGTGTTGACAAATTCCCATTAAGAAATAAATATCTGGTAGGTCTAAAAAAATACATCTGTTGCATTTTGTCTGGTATATTTGTTTAATTATTAGTCATTCATACTGTATGTGGCAGCTGTAAAAATGTGCTGTAGTACTAGTTGCTAGTTGAGGGAACCTCTGAGTCACAATATTCTTGGCTTTAATAGGGGAAAGGAAAGTGTAGAAATGCAAAGACTGAAAACATTTTCTGTTTGTCTCAATAGACAATATCTATCAATATACTTGAGGAATACAGAAAAACTAAAAAGTTCTAACTTTGTTCTGTTTCAAAGGTAACTGAGAACAGTGATTTTACAGTTGTGATTTGCTGTCTCAAGAGTCAGGTTTAAAAGCTGTAACATACGGATGTATTTCTCTTTTTCCCACTGAGACTCCTTTGTAAACTACACAGCATATCTAATGAGAAGGTATGCTAGAAAGAAAAAGAAATAAACACAGAAATAAAAAAAACATATTTGAATTCCACAGATGACTAACATCTATGAAACATAAATTAAATTAGCAAGAAAACATACATTTTGTATATAATTATACCAACAAAAAAAAATCACATTGAGAGGAGATAGTAAATGGTGATATGGAACACAGCAGGAAAGCAAATGGGCACACAGGACCAGTTAAATAAAACCCCTTTAGAAAAAGGTTTTGAGTCTAGATCTGAAAAAGCTAAGGGAAGGTGGCTCTCCGATATCCTTGAGGATGACTTGAGGTACAGACAGGAGACCAGATTTAGATGAGCGACGGTTGCGAGGCGAGGAGTAGGATGACAGCCACTCAGACAGGTACTGAGGTGCCCAGCCATGCAGAGTCTTATAGGTGAACATGAGGATTTTAAAGTCCACATGGAATTTGACAGGAAGCCAGTGCAAGGACTCCAGGAAAGGCGTAATGTGGTCACTTGCACAGCTGTAGACCTGGTCAGGCCTCTACACATCAAATTCTGGATACTGTAGTTTGTTCAATGTGAATTTAGATACAGTACCTCACCGAGTAGGGCAAGTCAATTTGTGAAAAGACAAAAGTGTCAACCTGCTTTTCAGCAACAGTTAGTGTCAACATAGGATGAAGTCTGGTGATATTTCTGAAGTGGAAGAATTATGTTTTCACATGTTGCACATGTGGGCCAAACATCAAAGCTGCATCAAATATCACACCCAAGATCTTCCATTTTGATTGCAACTGAAGTACAGTACCATCCACAGATAGGGTTACTGCACTGGTTTTACATAGTTGATGGGGCATGCTGAGAAGCATTACTTCTTGTCTTGTCACAGTTTAGATAAAGGAAATTGTGAGTCACCCATGTTTTTAGGTTACAGATACAATCAGAGAAAGCAGAGATAGTGACTTAATTGTCAGGTTTAGTATGGATATACAGTAGATTTGAGTATCATCAGCAAAGAAATGATCATTTAGACCATGTGATCTCAATAGCTGACCAAGCGGTAACATGAAACAAAGTAGGGCTCCAATATTGAACCCCTAAGAAGCACCAGACTTAATGGGAAATTGAATAATAGAAACATTGAGAGACTTAAACCTATTTGACTTACTTGGCTATTTAGGACCAGGGCTGGAAATACCTGGTTTGAATATGTAAGAAGAAAACAACTTTTATAGAATGTGAAACTCCCACTCTTGGCATCTGATTTTCTTCCAAACAAAATAAATAAGGCACAACAAAAACTCAGTTTAGCTAATAAAAAAGTAAGTAAATAAGTAAATAAGCAATTGCACATATTGTATACAGAACATGTATCTTTACATGGCTTATGCTGTGTTTCTAAAATGAAGCATATTTGTGCATTTTGCAAATAAGAGCTACAGTAAATAAGAGTATGTTTTTGTATTAAAGTGTTATTTCTGGACTAAAAGAACCTAGTCCAGTGTTACATTAATATTTTTAGCTCAATAGTCCAGTATATTAAGAAAAGTTTAGAGAACTTTTTTATTATTTTTGTTTGCTCATCAGCTTTATGTTACTGTATTACAGTAAATACTATTTCTAAAGTTTATGTACTGTATGTGTCTTGCATGCAATTTATTACTTTGTGTAACTAATCAATAGAACAATTTATGAAGAATTCAAGTTTAATTTCTGTGTCCTGTTTTAGGAAATAAAAAATAAGTTAATTAATTAATGGAATTTATAATTTATAAGAAGTTAAACTCAGTATTTAATGACATAGTACAATTAATACTATTTGTAATAGATTACATTTAGTGTCCCCTTTACTGAACGGATTCCTATAAGGATACACTTTTAGGCAACTTCTTTTCAGGCTGCTGTTAATTCCTGCTTCTGGACATTGACATGTGTACACAACTCACAACCAGCTCATAACCCACACATTACATCAGAAAGACACCTAAAGTGTTTCAGACATCTTTACTCATCAATTTCTCTGGGAGCTGTGCCACTAATATAATTACTCATGTGACATGTGTGACATTTGTTTGAACAGTCTGGAATTGCACATTTTTTGTCAAAACTGGAGTTTATTGTCCACACCAGTTTCCAACTTCAGACCTGACTTGTGCCAACAAAATCAAAGCAAACACATCATTTAAAACGGCAAACTGTTTCATTACTCAATTTTTTCAGATGTTGCCGTAATATACAATAAACAATATCAATTTTAGATCTAGAGAAAACTGCTTTTAAAAACGTTCCATTTCAAGCCAGCAATTAAAAAATGTGTTTTGAAATAATGTTACTGCATATGTGAATTCCAAAGTAAATATTCACGTTGAAAAAAATAATTTTAGATGGAAAATCATACAATGGATATGTAAAATTAAGGCTCCACCGCCAAAGCATTGTGTTTTCTTTTTTCTCTTTTCAGCATGGAATAAACCTATTATTCGTTCCTTTGCAGCCTACGCATGCTGATGCAGCTGCCCGGCTGAACTACGTAAAATTAACGTACAGTAGCTTCATGTTGATGGGCATGCTAATGCCATAAAATAAATGTATTCTCAAGGAACTGTCATACAGTATGACACTGCATTTTTATTCCAACCCAGATTGTTTCAGTTTCAGCAGACAGTATGTAAAATACATGTAATGAAAAGCTATAACAGGCCATTTTTTAAAATAATAAGAAGGTCTTTCTGAAATTACTCATATATTCAGGTGGGTAGCTTTGTGGGCTGCAAAGGAACAAGTAATAGGATTATTCATATAAACACACCCAACACACTCGAAGAAGGCTCCACAGCCGAAACTTCTTTCTTCTCTTTTCAGCATAGAATAAACCTATTACTTGTTCCTTTACAAAAAACTGATCCTTTCATTAACATGCTTTACTTATTGTCTCCTTTTACATATGACTTTGGTTTTGTTAGACTTTACTGAGGTGCCACAACACTCAATAACATAGGCTCAATGTTTAAAAAAAGGCAAGCTAAGACACAAGCAGGATTTTCAGAATGCTCAATAAATTACGACAATATTCGATACTCACAACAAACATCTTTTCTACTTTGGCTATTCCTTTTCCAAAAATGGTCCCCAGCTGATCTCCAACTCCAGCCAACAGAAAACCAAAGAGTGGGATTCCCAACAAGGCGTAGATGATGCAGAATATCCTCCCACCCTCAGTATGTGGTGAGATATTTCCAAAGCCTGAGACAAGAAGAACATTATCTGTATTGAGCAGGGTAAATGAACAGTTAAGCACCAAAACTTTACAAGTAAGCCCCCCCTCCCTAGATACTGTATGTATTGTACAACTTCATCTTCCGTTTCAATCACCAGGTGAATTCTCTAGGAGCAATGACTGAAATGTCTTTAAATGTTAGTACACATAAACTCATCTTATAGTCTGACAGAGTCCATTTATGTTTGTTGCTTTGGTTTGAAGTTGTAATGTCCTTGGCATATCAAAGTGCCTTTCACAGCGGCAGATATAAAAGAATGAAACACTCCACTGCAAGGATATCAATTTTTAGAAAAGTGAGGAGGTGCTGTTAGCATTGGTTTATGTTTGGACAGAGGCATCTTCTATATGGATTGTGCATTTAGTGCTTGGGTTAGGGTTTGGTTTAGATTCAGTCTCTAGACTGGTGTGTGTACACCCTGCAATGGACTAGTGTCTGTAGTCTCACCTTGTGCTTGATGCTTCCAGGATAGGCTCCAGATTACCAATAATTTTACCTGGAATAAGAGGCTCTCTGGAAACAGATTTCTGAATAAATATAATAGCACGTGATTTGTTGTGTAAATCCCTTCCATGAAGATTTCCCTCAATTAAATACAGATACCTGGTGGAAATGATCAATTTCAATCATAAAGGCTACCAGAGACTCAAAATAAAAATAAAAAAACCCTTGAAAAATCTTGAAAACTAAAATTATGCGTATTAACAAAGAATCACTTTCAAGTTGACAAATTGTTTTTCAGCCTGCAATGACCACTCTCTTCTTTTTAGTCATGCTTATTATCAAAGATGGTGATAATCCTAAAGGTGCTGGATTCTGTCATTACATTCACAAAAAGGTTTTGTTCTCAAAGACTCATTACACACAGCACGTTGGACAGGGTACTGTATATAGCTTTTGTACTAAGATTATTGTTTTGAAAAGGAATTCAAAAGTGTCTGTGGAAGAGGAGAAAAATAAGGAGCTCTAGATCATGTAATGATGTAAGGGGCAAGGTAATCAAAAGGGCATATTATGTGGCCCAGGAAATGGAGCAATGTATACTGTACCCCAATAGCTTTGCCATGATATTTGTAGTTCTACTGTAGGTTAAAGCCTAAAAGCCAGAACTACAAATTCTAGGAAGCTATGAAGAAATTGAGTGCCAGCTGACAGTTTAACTGGGTTAATTGTTCACAGCTGTTTTCCACTGTGCCTGGAGTTTGTGTATCAATGGTCAAACGCAGCTCCAGGTCTATTGTTTGGAGACGATTCATAGTTTGTTGGAGATTTGCTAGAAAAGAAGGACTACTTTAAAGCACTCTGTTGGAGACAATTTGTAATTTATGTGAAACGCAGAAATGAATTTTTTTAGAAAGTATTGCTTTAGTTAAACTGGGATAGGGGACTATTATTCTCAATTCTATTAGAACCTGGAATATGCTTAGTTCATATTTTCCATTTTCTTGCTAGATGCCAGGTGTAAGAGCCCGCCTGCAGTGATCAGTTACCCCACTGGTGTCTCACAGTATAAATGAAAGTGTGTTCCACCTACCTTAGATACAGTATGTACCTCACACAACAATGATTTTTGAAACACATTTTAGTTGCAAACAGAACTACGTTGGGCAAATTATAGCTCCTCCCTCATAGCCTCCCTCATAGAGTCATGAGTTCAGTTGTCGGCTGGCGTGCCTTTGGTGTGGAGTTTGAATACTCCAGTTATCTGCATCCTTCCAATGACATGCAAGTGTCCTGCAATGGATTGTCTCGTTCAAGATTTAGTTCCATCTTGCACCCAAAAATTCCAGCGTAGGCTTTGGGTTACAAAAATAGTTTTTTTTTGTGTCATGTTATATTTGCCAAACCGCTTTATACCATACAGTGTTGCGGGAAGCCGGACCCTATCCGGCAAGCAACGAGCGCAAGGCAGGGTACACCCTGGACAGGAAGCCAGTCCATTGCAGGGCAAGTGCAAGCCAATCATACATGGGGACAATTTGGGAGCCATGGTAAAGGCCGAGGGGGGAAATTTGACCCAGACACCAGGATAACTCCCTACTCTTATCGAGAAATGCCCGGGGATCTTTAATGACCACTGAGAGTCAGGACCTCAGTTTAACGTCTCATCCAAAAGACGGCGCCCACTACAGTATAGTGTCTCCGCCACTATACTAGGGCATTAGGACCTGCACAGATTGCAGGGTGGGCGCCCCCCACTGGTCCCACTAACACCACTTCCAGCAGCAACCATAGCTTCCCAGGAGGTCTCCCATCCAGGTACCAACCAGGCTCAGCACTGCTTAGCTTCAATGAGTAGCCAGTTGAGAGCTGCAGGATGATATACTGTAGCTGCTGGCTGTTTTTTGTGTGTGTAATGGATTAATTTTAGTTGAATGTAGTGACTGCTTATCATCATTAGTGAATAAATTGCAGAACATTGGATAAAAGATAATAAGAAAAGATAAAGAAAGTATCAAATAACACCTTATTATACTGAATACATTTATGACCAGACTATCTTTTTGTCAGCAAAGAACTTGTATTGATGATCTGAAAATAATTTTGCTTGGACTTAGAATAACAGAGGAAACACCTATCGTATGTACTGTACCCTGCTATATTGCATGACAACATGCTCAAGGAGAATAATTAAAATGAAGTGAAATTAACTGCATTTCACCAATTAGGTGCAGATGTGCCTCTGTTCAATTAGCCAAACAAAATGCAAAGTCTTATACTGAGAACAGCAATTTATCTCAATGAACTCTAAATGCCTCAAATCCTAATTAATTTAAAAAGCCCTGAAATGGGCAGAACAAAAATTGATTACTTGCAATACCAAAGAAACAAAACAATCGGAGATATACAGTACAGATAAATCAAGCATTTTTAAGGTGTCTTTGTACAACAATATTTTGGTTACAGAGGCAATTAAAAAGGTTGAGTTTAAATATATATATTTCAATGGGGTATGTGAATTCATGTGCATTCTAAGTCATCTGTACTGATTTGTATCTTACAGTGCCCTACAATAGCTCCTAGCCATCTGCCAGTGGGAGCGAGTACAGATTGTTCACTGCCTTATCCCCGACTCTCACAATCATGAGAAAGAACTAAGCATCACAGACTCTGTTCCTGCTTGTTTTAAAACTGAAGTTTAGATTTTTATTCAGTAAGCTGTTTTTCTTTATTATTCAGGAGGATGAAAATGCATCTTTTCTTCCTGAATATAACATTCATAATAGTTCATTTTCAGGTGGAGGCAAATAAAATACATATGGCCAAATGTTTTCTCTGCCATTCCATTTAAGGAAATAATTCACTGGCTAAATAAATAATGTTAAAACATAAACTAAAACAATAATTAATCTGTTCCAATTTCTATCCAATTACTTTAAAGAACACCATTGGGATTGTTTTATAATTCCTAAAAACTGGAATGCTTGCAATGTTATAGTGGAGAGACATTACTACTACAGTACAGGGGTGTAACCCCGGCATTCTGGCCAAATTTCCCATTGACCCTTACCAATCATGGCCTCCTAATAATCCCCCTCTATGAATTGGGTACTCTGCTCTCCTCCCCACTGATAGCTGATGTGTGGTGAGTGTTCTGGCGCACTATGGCTGCCGTCGCATCATCCAGGTGGATGCTGCACATTGGTGGTGGTGGAGGGGAGTCCCCATTACCTGTAAAGTGCTTTGAGTGGAGTGTCCAGAAAAGCGCTATATAAGTGTAAGCAATTATTATTATTATTATTATTATTACATGACCTAGTTGTTTACCATGTTCCTGTGAGCAACACTTCCAGTCTGACAAAAGCTGGATAAAGAAAACCCAAATAGTTTCAGTCATACTGTACATAAAATATGCAAAAAATATAGGATGATGTATAAATATACATAAATATAGGGTAATGTTGACCAAATAATGTATTGGTACCTTTGTAGCAGCAGTGAATATTAAAACACTGAAGATTTTTAGAAAGCCCTTTTTATGGTCTTGAATTGACACTAACCCTGCTGCAGCATAGCTTTGCTGGTTCAAGCTTTTAGAAATTGTAACAATTAAACTATTATTCCAAACAGATTTGGTAAAGTTTAGTTCACTACTGTAACTTAGTGTTAACTAGTATTCAAGAATATGAATGTTGATCAACTGTATGAGACTGATTTAATGTATGAATTAGACCAAACTTTTCTTTTCATCAAACTTGTATTTTTGATGTGTATTTTAACTGATTTTGGTCAAATCCTCGCAATTCCTATGTGAATGATCAGCTGTTAGTATCAAAGCAGACTATCATGTAAAATGGCCCAGAGCCCATCCTAGGAAACACTGGGCACAAGGCAGGATATACCCTGGACTGGATGCCAGTCCATTGCAGGCCATACATGGACACAGACACACACAGGCAATCACTGGGCCAGTTTTTTTACAGAAGACAAGTAACTCCCAGTATGTCTTTCAACTGTATATTTAACACTGTATAGAAATTTCTGATATTTAGTATTAGCATAATACTGCAATACTGCAATGGACTGGTATACCATCCAGAGTGTATCCTGTATTGGATAAAGCAGTTAGAAAACAGATGGATGGGAGGATGGAATTCTGCAATAATTAAAAAGCAAAGATATACCTAAAAATCCCAATTAGATCTCAACTTTACCAAGCAATCTAAGGTCTAGATGTTTTGTTACAGTGTTTAATAAATTGAGTTAGTAAATGCCATTTTGGATGCTGAGTTTGAAAAAAGAGGAAGAAGGCAGAGTAGATCAGTATCCCCAGAATTGCTTTTATTCTTCAGTCAGCTAAAAACAGAGGATGTTAGTACATGCAGCCAAAATAGATAATATTTAGAGTAAAAAGCCTTATTTGATATAACTGAAGAAACAGTAATCTGTATTTAAAAATGCCAAGCAGAAATTACAGCAAAGAAATTATCTATTTGCATGAAAAACAAAATAAGAGAAGAAAGC